AGTTCAGAGCCTGGAGGATTTAATTGTCTGAAAAACTGGACATAGAGAGCAAGAGAGCATCCCAAGAGCACAAGTGTACCACGCAGGATGAGATGCTGCAGATTATGAAGGACCAGACAGACATGTTGAGGCATCTCGTTGAACTTCAAGAAAAACAGCCTGCAAACATCGCCCTATTCCCAATCATTCCCGGAGGTGTGGGGGAAGATGCCGTATCCCTTCCACTCAACACCAGAGGAGGGTACTAAGAACAAAGCTATTTGAAGAGCTTTGATGGACAAGTCTTCTGTGCTTTCCCAGAAAAGCTGACTTGGTTTTTCCCCTCCCAGTTTTATCATATCATTTGCCCCAGGTTAAATTATTTTCTTGTTCTTTCAGTTTCTTCATGTTTGTGCAATAAAAGTCAATGTTTTGAGAATGAAATACTCTATTTATTCCAAGCATGAGGTTTTTGGTGGGAGCGGGAGGTACAGGGAAACTGATGCAACAGAGGGGATGGTATGCGAAGGCACAATGCAAACAAATGGTGCACATTACTGTGGCTCATTACTGAACTGGGTTTTCAAAGCCTCCCAGAGACACAGAGCTCCTCGCTGGGCTCAAAGTTTTATTGCCCTGGTATCTGGCTGCTCAAAATTAGCTGCTACCTCCATGGCCCACCCTTACGGAAACTTCTTTCCCTTTGACTCACAGATAGGAGCACACAGCAGGCTGAGAGAAAAATGGGGATATTGCTTTCACTGAGCTCTAACCTAGTAAGCAGTTTGCCTGCTGTGTGCTCTCTGCCTGCAGTTTGCTTACTAGGTTAGACCTAGTAAATGTCCAGAGCACATTCCACCACCATTCTGCACTTGCTCAGCCTACTGTTGAACCACTCCTTACTGCTGTCCGGGTGGCCAGTGTATGGCTTCATGAGCCATGGGAACAAGGGGGAGGCTGGGTCTCCCAGGATCACTATAGGCATTTCAACATCATCAGTGGTTATTCTGTGATCTAGAAAGAAAGTCCCTGATTGTAGGGACCTGTGTTCCTAAAGACGTGCGCATCATGCACCTTTCCTGATCATCCCAAACTGATGTCAGTGAAACGCTCCCTGTGATCCACCAGTGCTTGCAACACCTGTGAAAAGTATTCCTTTTGGTATAGTACTCTTTGGCAAGGTGGTCTGGTGCCAAGATAGGAATGTATGTGATATCTATCACCCCACTGCAGTTAGGGAACCCCATCGCAGGAAAACCACCCACTATGTTCTGCATGTTGCCTAGAGACACTACCCTTCTTAGCAAAAGTAAATTAACGGCCCTGCACACTTGGATCACAAGAGCTCCCATGACGGATTTACCAACTCCAAATTGATTCCCCACTGACTGCTAGCAGTCTGGCATTTCAAGCTTCCACAGAGCAATCACCAATCGCATCTTCACTGTCAGAGCAAGTCTCATTTTAGTGTTGCTGTGCATCAGGTCTGGGGAAAGCTCTGCATACAGTTCCTGGAAAGCGGCCTTCCACATCTGAAAGTTCTGCAGCCACTGCTCATCATCCCATAGCTGCATAACGATGCAATCCCACCAGTCAGTGCTTGTTTCCCAGGACCAGAAATGGCACTCCAGTGTGTTCAGCTGCTGCACAACTACCAGCAACAACCAGAACCTGTTTCATTCTATGGCTTGCAACAGGACTGCTTGAATGACATTGCGAAGTTCCGCGGGGTCCAGGGCTATCAGGCACTGGCATACACACAGCTAAGCCAGGCTTTCGAAAAAAGGCATGAAAAAGTATGGGTTGTTTGCCATTGATATCAGAGTAAGGAGGGAGGGGAGGGAGGAAACTGCATCATGGGAGTTCTAAGCCATGTTCCCATTTCCCTGCCCCCAGACAATGTTTTGGACCCATGAGGCATTGCAAGCCTTTCCCAAAACCCCTTGTGACTAGTTGCACTGTGGGATAGCTATCCAAGGTACACTGCTCTATGCATCAATGCAAGTGGTGCTAGTAAAGATGCATTCCACCAACACGAGTGCGGTGTGAACATGCCCGACCAACTTAACTACTGCAGCAACTGGATGCCAACCTAAATTAAGTTGACCTAACTTTTTAGTGAAGACATGCCCATAGTCTCTGCCAATCTTACCTAGAGGAAAATTCCTTCCCGACCCCAAACATGACAATCAGTTAGACCGTGAGCATGTGGGCAAGACCCAGCACCCAGATATCTGGAAAAGAATTCTCTGTAGAAACTCAGATCCCTCCCCATCTAGCATGCCATCACTGCTATTATTTGATACCATATTATAACATATAATTTTATTAATGGATAGAGATAAGAGGCATTGATTAAATTTTAAGAAACTATGTGGAAAATTAAAAGTTATCTATAGTAGTATATAACAGACTCCAACAATCTGAGGAATTATTGCCAATAGTACTGCAAATATTGTACTGCATAAATAGTACTGCATAAATAGTACTGCATAAATAGTACTGCAAATATTTCAGACATTGTCTATTTTAAATAGAAAGGTAATCAGTGAAAAATATATGTACTCATCAATAAAGTTAAGGTCTTTGTTCTATATTAAATAAAGTTACACATTACATTTGCTTAACATAGCAACTGAAACTGAAAATGTTTAAAGTGAAGCCTAACAAAATATTGAAAGGCCCAAATGACCAATGGGCTTGGTCCACTCTTTATTTGTATTTGCAGACAGCCAGTGTAACACACAAAGCTATCTACAACTAAGGGGAAGGGAATGACCAAGTTCTGATACAGAAGGATGTACAACTGTTTTGTGTTTTACTAATAGTTACTAAAACTACTGGTATTGAGCCAAACAGTAAAATGGCCTAGTAGACAGAGCACTGGACTGGGCCTCAGGATATCTGGGTTTCTATTCCCAGCTCTGCTACTGACTTTCTGGATGATCTTCAGCAAATCACTTCACCTCTCCTTTACCTCCTTTGTGAAATGCTTTGAAATACTATTATCTAACCACCTTTATTTTGTCATCTTTGGCCTCTTATTTGCTTTAAATTCTATTTTTTTCTAATAAAAGTTATAAATTAAATTTTTTTCTCCAGTTTGTACTTTAGCTAAGGAACAGAGATTTTATCTCAAGAATTGTGAGTAATTTAGCAGAGATAATAGCTTAACTAAAATTACTTAACCTCAATGTGTTTTATAATGTTTCTTTCTCCAGGATCATGTATTAAAGACTATAACACATAAGGATTTATGGTTGCAAAGGCAAACTCAAATCTGACATTTCCTAACTTTTGTGTGCTGGATTTTGCAATTTAAATAAAGTTCTTTTAATATAGTTTTTGTATGTAAATTCTAGGATTTTTTTTAAAGTAAAAAATAAATATGTATAATTGTAACCACCACTGCATCAGGTGTTCACAAGGTTGGAACACTGAACCTTAGGCAGGACATCACAGACAGCTACCACTTGTGCTCCAGCACTTACTATGTTAGCTGACAGAGCAGGTGGGCTGCAGGGTGGTAGGTGCATATGGAGCACTACCATGTCCCAGGGTCCAGAAGGGAGGGCTAAGGCGGTCCCATGAGTCTCACTGGCAAGTTCCAGAGACAACAACCAGGTCAGAAGCAATCTCCCTCAAACTGATCGGAAGGGGTAAGGTGCATTCCTACCGAGATGCTGTCTCTGGACTCCATTCAGGGGCTCTTTTTCATATCACCTTCTGGTGAGGTGTGACAAATCTGAAATGTCTCCCACTATTCCCCTTGGTGCTAAAAGGAGCTCTCCCTAACTTCCACATATTCTCTTCCTGACAGTCCTAGAGGGTCTTTGCTACTCTGCTCCTCCCACAGTCTAATTTTGGGTCCTCCTCCAATAAACCCAGTGCTTCTGCAGTTACTTAGTTTAATTCTGTTATTGCTTGGGAAAGCTGACATTGATCAGGTTCACTGCTGCCAGCAGGATTCTTACCAGCTGCATTAACATCAAAGGTCCCCTCAATTCATTCTGCTGCGGCTTGAGGAAACTTTCAGAGTAGCAGCCGTGTTAGTCTGTATTCGCAAAAAGAAAAGGGGGGCTTGTGGCACCTTAGACACTAACCAATGAAAGCTTATGCTCAAATAAATTGGTTAGTCTCTAAGGTGCCACAAGCCCTCCTTTTCTTTTTGAGGAAAGTTGTGAGCAGCAGCAGCAAATGTGAGTTTACTGCCAGCAAGCAGAGGACTTCAGTTTGATACGATTTACCCACAGAAAGGCAGTGGTGTGTAACAGATGGGAGCAGTAGCTCAGGAGTCAGGAATTTCCTTGTTTTCATCCTGGCTCTGACACAGGCTTGCTGTGACTCTGAGCAAGTCACAACCGCTCTCAGTTCCTGCCATCTGCGGCATGGGCTCATCTCTGCCTCCCATCCAGGATTACCAAACAGCAGGTTGCATTTGTAAACGCTGAGGAAAACCAACAAACTCACAAACCCAGAGGTAACCCACACTTCGAGTCCACGCACTTGCCAGGGCAGCCGAGCACAAGGACATACCGTCGACGCGGTCCAGACCGCGCACTTGCCCAGACAGGCTCGCGGGGACACCAGAAGCGACGGAAATGGGCGCTGCTCGTGGGCCACAAGCGGCGGGAACGAGGTGGGACCTGGCCCGACCAAGCCCGCGCCGCCGCGGCCAAGTGACCTGCGAGGCGGGGCGCTGCCGGGACCCGGGACCCCGCGCCGCCGCCGGAGACCGAGGGGCCGCCCGCAACGGCGCGCGGGAGGAGGGAGGCACCGAGGCCGGCCCGGGGGGCGGGGCCGGCCCGGGGGGGTCCTGTCCCCCCGCCCAGAGGCGCCCCCGCCGGCGGTTGGGGGGCAGCCCGGGACGGCTGCCGGGGCGCGCGGTGATGCGCGGGGCAGCCCGGCCTCAGCGCAGGGCGGGGTCCCCCGGCTCCGCGCCCCGGCGCGGGGCAACGCAGCGCGGGCGGGAGACCCGCGGGCCGGCCCGGGGCCCCCCCACGGCGGCCCGCCCCACTCACCGCAGCCGCAGGTTGGCCATGAACTCAGGCATGGAGACCGAGTCCAGCAGCACGAAGTCCGCCTTGCCGAACTCCGGGCTCTCCAGCTCCGCCATGGCGCCGGGCTCGCGGCGCGGCTCCCGAGCCTCGCCTCAGCCCCGCCGAGCGCCCGCCCCGCCTCACCTGGGGCGCGCGGAGCCGCCAGGAGCGGGCGGGGCCTGCCCGGGGTGGAGCCGGGCGCGCGGCCCCGCCCCGCCTTCCCCGCCAAGAGCCGGCAGCGCCCCCTGCCGGCCGCGGCTCCGCCCCGGCTCCTGCGCGCCCGGCCGGGGGGCGCTGACCGCGTCCCACGCTGGACCCCGGGGGACCCCATCCCCAGGGCTCACACTGGGGGGCTGCATCCCGCAACCCCGGGGGGACCCCATCCCCAGGGCTCACACTGGGGGGCTGCAACCCGCAGCCCCGGGGGACCCCATCCCCAGGGCTCACTTTGGGGGGGCTGCATCCCGCAACCCCGGGGGGACCCCATCCCCAGGGCTCACACTGGGGGGCTGGATCCCGCAACCCCGGGGGGACCCCATCCCCAGGGCTCATTTGGGGGGGGGTGCATCCCGCAGCCCCGGGGGGACCCCATCCCCAGGGCTCACTTTGGGGGGGCTGCAACCCGCAGCCCCAGGGGGACCCCATCCCCAGGGCTCACTTTGGGGGGGCTGGATCCCGCAGCCCCGGGGGGACCCCATCCCCAGGGCTCACACTGGGGGGCTGGATCCCGCAACCCCGGGGGGACCCCATCCCCAGGGCTCATTTTGGGGGGGGTGCATCCCGCAGCCCCGGGGGGACCCCATCCCCAGGGCTCACACTGGGGGGCTGCATCCCGCAACCCCGGGGGGACCCCATCCCCAGGGCTCACACTGGGGGGCTGGATCCCGCAACCCCGGGGGGACCCCATCCCCAGGGCTCATTTTGGGGGGGGTGCATCCCGCAGCCCCGGGGGACCCCATCCCCAGGGCTCACTTTGGGGGGGCTGCAACCCGCAGCCCCAGGGGGACCCCATCCCCAGGGCTCACTTTGGGGGGGCTGGATCCCGCAGCCCCGGGGGGACCCCATCCCCAGGGCTCACACTGGGGGGCTGGATCCCGCAACCCCGGGGGGACCCCATCCCCAGGGCTCATTTTGGGGGGGTGCATCCCGCAGCCCCGGGGGGACCCCATCCCCAGGGCTCACACTGGGGGGCTGCATCCCGCAACCCCGGGGGGACCCCATCCCCAGGGCTCACACTGGGGGGCTGGATCCCGCAGCCCCGGGGGGACCCCATCCCCAGGGCTCACTTTGGGGGGGCTGGATCCCGCAGCCCCGGGGGACCCCCATCCCCAGGGCTCACTTTGGGGGGGCTGGATCCCGCAGCCCCGGGGGGACCCCATCCCCAGAGCTCACTTTGGGGGGGCTGGATTCCGCAGCCCCGGGGGGACCCCATCCCCAGGGCTCACACTGGGGGGCTGGATCCCGCAACCCCGGGGGGACCCCATCCCCAGGGCTCATTTTGGGGGGGGGTGCATCCCGCAGCCCCGGGGGGACCCCATCCCCAGGGCTCACACTGGGGGGCTGCAACCCGCAGCCCCAGGGGGACCCCATCCCCAGGGCTCACTTTGGGGGGGCTGGATCCCGCAGCCCCGGGGGGACCCCATCCCCAGGGCTCACTTTGGGGGGGGCTGGATCCCGCAGCCCCGGGGGGACCCCATCCCCAGAGCTCACTTTGGGGGGGGCTGCATCCCGCAGCCCCGGGGGACCCCATCCCCAGGGCTCACACTGGGGGCTGCATCCCGCATCCCTGGGGGAACCCCATCCCCAGCACCCTGCATTGCAGGGCTGGATCCCACAGCCCCTGGGGACCTCAGCACCCTGCGTCGGGGGGGAGGGCTGGATCCCGCAGCCCCGGGGGGACCCCATCCCCAGAGCTCACTTTGGGGGGGCTGGATTCCGCAGCCCCGGGGGGACCCCATCCCCAGGGCTCACACTGGGGGGCTGGATCCCGCAACCCCGGGGGGACCCCATCCCCAGGGCTCATTTTGGGGGGGGTGCATCCCGCAGCCCCGGGGGGACCCCATCCCCAGGGCTCACACTGGGGGGCTGCAACCCGCAGCCCCAGGGGGACCCCATCCCCAGGGCTCACTTTGGGGGGGCTGGATCCCGCAGCCCCGGGGGGACCCCATCCCCAGGGCTCACTTTGGGGGGGCTGGATCCCGCAGCCCCGGGGGGACCCCATCCCCAGGGCTCACTTTGGGGGGGCTGGATCCCGCAGCCCCGGGGGGACCCCATCCCCAGAGCTCACTTTGGGGGGGCTGCATCCCGCAGCCCCGGGGGGACCCCATCCCCAGGGCTCACACTGGGGGGCTGCATCCCGCATCCCTGGGGGAACCCCATCCCCAGCACCCTGCATTGCAGGGCTGGATCCCACAGCCCCTGGGGACCTCAGCACCCTGCGTCGGGGGGGAGGGCTGGATCCCGCAGCCCCAGGGAACCCCATCCCCAGGGCCCCACACTGGGGGGCTGGATGTCACAGCCCTGGGGACCCTGTCCCCAACACCCTGCATTGGGAGGCTGGATTCCACAGCCCCGGGGAAACCCCATTCCTGGGTCCCACATTGGGACCCTGGATTCCACAGCCACAGGGGACCCAGTACCCTGCATTGGGGGCTGGATCCCACAGCCTTGGAGGACCCCATCCCCAGCATTTTGCGGGGACATGGTTTTCTATGCTTGGAAACTCTCCCAAGCCTGCAAAAACTTATTTACTTACTTAAGATTATTCACGAGTAGTCCCATTGACTTCAGTGTGAGTACTCATGTGAAAAGTTAAATGTGTGTAAATCTGATATTGGCGCTACCGTCTCTTTAATTGAAATCAGGGTCTTTAGGATGGAATGTAATCTGCAGGTGACGTCAATGAGTCAAGAAAACAAGCTAACTTCTTCTCATTGGTGTCTGTAGATGTATTTGCTCTCTGCAGCTTTATTATAAGTAGTGCAGTTGCAGAGGTGATCTGGTAGTGTGCTGGTGATACTAGCCGTACTTTATAGTCGTTGCCTTCCTTCCTTTTGGGTAAGGAGGGGTAGTTGTGCATAATGTCCTATTTGCAATTATTTTATGGTTATTTGATGGCTCTTATAGGTAGTATCTGAGTGTCTTCCCAGAGTGCAGTCAGTAACAGGACTAGCATTTGTTGGCTTGCTAAATATCTTAGTCTGTGGGATGAATTATAAAAAAAACCTATTAACTAGACACTGAAATATCTAAAAATACTAAATCTGGAGCTAAATTACTTGATTTAAGTTAGTCTTCCTTCTAAGGAGTGCTCTCCTCCTCTTTCCCAGCTGTACAATCTGCACTCTGAGGAGGATAGAGATGTTTTGAGCTATTCTGTCTATATGTAACAAGCTTGTAAATTCCATTCTTCTTTTTTGTGTTGATCTCTGCCTTGGTAGCAGAGATGCAGCTTTCTTCAGTTCCCTTTCTAAGGAAGAAGATAGACTATGCCAGGGGAGATCCTCTGTGTCTCAGGCTCTACAGTAGCAAGAGAAAGGAGGGCTATGCTACCTACATATATAAAGTCCTAAAGCAAGTAAGTCCTGGTTCTACAAGTGCTGCAATAAGAGCTTAAATATGAACATTTTATCTTTGAGCTTTGATAGCTGAAGGAGGAGGGAGAGCTTTGCCTGCCCCACATTTCTCGCAAAGTATTGCTGGTCTACATGCGCCACTCTTAATGCTCTGTGGAGGAGGCTGCTTCAGAGCAGGCTTAGCTAACATTTTTATCTCTCCTTTCACAAGCTGCAGGAGCCTTGTCTTCACTAGGGCTCCAAATGCAGCTTACGGTGAAAGTCTTAAATTGCTGTGGCATAAGCAAGGTTTTTTGGCTAGGAATTCTTCTGACTTAAATAAATCTGTTAATATAAATTTATGCCCCTGACTATGGTTGGTTAGGAAGAGAGCCTCTTAAAGGCTAAGTAGCAGCCAGCTGGAGAAATGTAGAAGTGACTTCCATGTTTACCTGGCTGTCTTAATCATTCTACCTATGACACACCCGAGTCCCTCTTTCTATAGGAGCAGGAGGCTATTACCAGGCACTTGGCTGCTGCTTTCCCTTAAAGATCTTAACCCTTGTGTCTGGGCCATATGTCACTGGCTTGTGTCTGTGGATTTGATGTTGCTGAGCAGTGCCTACCTACTTCTGGAGGCACACAATCAACACGTGGCAGTGGAGAGGACACTTTCTTGCTTAGCCTCTTTTTACTTGGCTGCTCAGAAGGCAGGGAGGCTCTGAAAATGCCTTCTGCTCTAGATGGTAAAACAGCTGGGACCAGCCCTGTTAATGACTCCTGCTCAGTATAAAGCACTTACCGTCTCCCTTGTAGTGAGTCCTGTACAACCTTGTTGCAGCCTGCTGTCCCGATAGACCACTCTAAGAGCAGGTTTGTACTTGCACATCTAGACTCTGCTTCTCCCCATTTGCTAAGCAACTTAAGCTGGGATTTGGCAAAATACTACCAGGCTTCTGGAGCAGTAACTTAAGCTTTGATGTATTACTACAGTGAGTACTCTACCCACAGCTGCACTTTTCTAACAAGCCTGGGTTAGAAATGTCATTGCCTGCGCAGCTGTTAGCCAGACAGATCTAATGGCATCCCCTGCTTTGGGGAGTGGGAGGAGTTGAGAGGTTTGACTTACTTCAAGTTGAGAACTCTAGTTTTGGTGGATCACCTGAGCTACTTGACTAATCTGTGACTTGCTTTTCAGCTCCTTCAAGAGCTGCTTTGTTAAAGGTGAATAGAGGTTGCTGGACTTTGCCTCTTACCCTTCCAGAACAAGGAAATCAAACTTAAACCTCACACCTTGACTTTCTGTTTCCTGGTCTAACTCCTCCCATGCAACCCTAACTCTGCCCATGTGGAGGTGGCAACAGGCACGGGGAAATGCAATAAACCCACAGCTTAGGAAACTTTCCACTTTCTGTGTGCACAGCATGGCAGGCTATGAGACTTGCAACTACAATGCCCCAAGATCCCTGCTTATGGGCCCTGTCATGTGGGAGGTCTGACTGTGACTGCAGTGGTCCCCCGTGGCTACTAAAAGCTATGAACTTTCTTGAAACTTGTTTCCCTGACAACTCTCCAAGA